AAGCATTAATGCTTCTTAAAAATAAAAGAATATAGGTCACATAACTCACTCGATATTCATGTTTGAGTTGAGTTTGTGACAAAACTATGCACTCGTGTGTGCGTGGTAGGTGCTATTATTACAATTATTAATGCTTTTTATAAATAAAAAATATATAGATCACGTGGTTCACTTGATATTCGTGTTTGAGTTGAGTTTGTGACAAAACTATGCACTCGTGTGTGCGTGGTAGGTGCTATTATTACAATTATTAATGCTTTTTATAAATAAAAAATATATAGATCACGTGGTTCACTTGATATTCGTGTTTGAGTTGAGTTTGTGACAAAACTATGCACTCGTGTGTGCGTGGTAGGTGCTATTATTACTAGCGCCGCCAAACCTCGATAAACGTAATGAAAAATAAGTTGCGAATACGTATATACGTTATCATAAAGTTACACTACATATAGGATATATAACGCAATGTGGAAAAAGCAGCCGGATATGAAAGCGGAAATGATACAGAATAATAATACGTAACAGGAACAGCCCAGATATAAGAATGCAGACATAACCAGCGTAACATAAATTAGTTACTATGATATCCTGATGATATTAGCACAATTCGATGACAAATTAACAAAAATCACACATTAGCAACGCCGAGCGTCGATAAACCTATTGAAGATACGTTGTGCATACAGTTGTATATACATTATTATAAAGTTACATTACGTATAATTTTATGTGACGGCGGTTTTTATGATTGCGGAAATAATACAGAATATTGCGTGACAGGAACAGCCAAGATAAGAATGCAGATTTAATAAGATTTACATTATAAAATTATTACTATGATATTATAGTACAATTAGATGAAATAGAGATATTCTATGTACAACTAGAAAGACTTAATATCAACGAATGAATGAAAACATGCCAAATTAACTCAGCAGATGACATATACGAGCGCCCCCAAGCGTCGATATACGTAACGAAAAACAAGTTGTGAATATACATTATTATAAAATTACAGTATATACAGGATATATCGCGTAATTAGGAAAAAGCAGCTGGACATGATTGCATTATAAAATGATTACTATGCTATTCTATTTCAATTAGACGAAATATTGGTAAAAAGCGATAATATAAACGGATAAATGAAAACATGAATGACAGGCTTCCCTTGAACTTTACACGTAAATTTTTGTAACAAACCACTGCAAAAACGTAAGTAAATAACCCACTACACTTTAACTAAACGTTAGCTTTAAAAATAAAATTGTAAAAATATGTATCAAGCCTATATTTTCTCATCGAAGAAACAACTCGAAAAACGCTTTTCGCCGCGGTTCCGTAGGCGCCATATTGTTTATATTTGAGCAACCATCATTTCAATCGAGTCGATATGTAGCCACTTTCAGATGTCATAACCTTTAATATAAATCATTATATGAAATCAAACTTGTAGTCTAGACAGAGAGGCACCTCGACTGTTTATGTTTATTAATTTTTACCGTATCCGTTTTCGAGATAGAACGTGCTAAAACCCAACAAAACGTAATGCGAACTAACAGCGACCTGACAGGACTCTCGACTCACTCACTCGCTCGCCCAGAATACCATAATCTCCCAGCAACAAAAAACGTTACCCTAACCCTATCAGCTAACCATGTGCGTGACCAGAAAACCCATTGGGTCATAACATGCCAGTGTGTATAATTTTACATAGCATCAAGAGCAGATAAAGAAGGCATCCCTTCTTTATCTGCTCTTGATAGCATGGTTCATACATACATAACACGGCAAGTGCGCGGAGCGGAACAATCCCCGCATAGCGGCAAAGGTAAACGCGTTTGAAACATTCGACCCTAATGTTTTACTTTGTAGTCTAAAAGCTTTGAATGAACGTATTCCTGAGCAATTTTTTTTACCTATCACACATATATAGGCAAGTACAAGCGTGCAATGTTAAAATAATTCATTTTTACCTGATTTTATGTTTGCCGCTTGAAAGTTCGAGGGAATCTACCTTTAAGCATGCCTAGAGAAGGTGCGCATTGAAGAATGCACACTCGCAACTTCAATGTGGAGGCACTGCTCTGCCGAAGCTCCCTTTATATACCAATGCAGGGATAGGACGCGGACACGTCGCCGACCTGTCGTCCAACGGAAATGATGTACGTAGGGCCACTGATAAGCATTTAATCAGGAGTGTGGGATGCCTACACAAGGTGCGCATCGCAAAGTGCAACCTTGCTACGTCAATGTGGTGGCACTGCTCAGTGGGAGAGATTACAGTTCTTTAGTCCTACGGGTCGTTGGTCCTACGGGTCGTTGGTCCTACGGGTCGTTGGTCCTACGG